GGATTTACTGTCGAGACGTCCGCTGCCGCCACAAAGCGGGCGGCCGCGGACGGAGAAAGGGCAGCCGCCGACAAGGAGCCGGCGTTGCCCGGGGGTCCGCCTGGGGCAGCGGACGGAGGGAGGCTGGACACAGGAACACGGTACCGCTCGATGTAGTCCTCCTCGCTAGGCTCCGAGTCAGCCGCGGGTAGCCGAGTCAGCGGTAGCCGCCGGCAGCGGACATCTCGACTGACAGTGGTCAGTCGGCTGCCTCCGGGTATCGCGTCTAAGGGATTTTCTTCCTCCTGCATGCTCCTGCTGCTTGTTGCTTGATTGCCTGACCCTTAGGCTGCTTGTCTGCGCGGCTTCGCGCTTGGGCTGGCGATGCCGCGTCTGGGTGCCAGCAGTGCTGGTTCTTCTCGGGCTTGTGTTTTGTGTGTGATTGTGCAGCTTCTCGCTGTGCGCTGTGTGCCTGGAGGTTTAGCTTGTTCCTGCTTTATTTTGCTTGAGGCACTTTTTACATTCTGCCAGTAAATCCTATGTCCCCCATCGGAGTTGGAGACCTCCGGCGAAGACTCCTCGGGCGACTCGACAAAGTCCGAGGAGGAGCTGTCCTCTGGCTCGAGAAGTGCTTGCGCCCGCAAGGGCGTCATGCGCCTCGCACCAGACAAGAGCGCTTCCAGCGTCAGCTGCATGGTGAGGCGCTGATAGGTGGCGGCGCGTTTGCGAGCCAAGACCTCAGCAGCAGGTCCGTCATCAGGCACGAAGTGCAGCTTGTTCCTGCTTTGTTTTGCTTGAGGCACTTTTTACCTTCTGCCAGTAAATCCCTCAAGATGCCGACCAAACGCCGCATCCTCAAGAGGGATAGGATTTAGAGGCATTGAGCGCTGAGCAATGATGTCCGCGAGATACCAGATGAAGCGGAGGGTGTCAGGATGCAGGGTACCGTCCGTCGAGATGGCAAGAGGGATGAACGCTCGAGGAGGAGTAGTCATGGCATATGCAGCGCGATGTTTGCGAATCTTCTCAGACGCTGCCGGGGAGGAAGCAGGCGAGCTCGGACCAGCAGCAAGCACCCCAGTGGTGTCGAGCTCTCCGGAGGCACCCGACGTCACAGTGAGGGACGGAGCCGCCTCGCCAGCTCCGCGCCGATCGTCGGCGCCACTCGACGTGTTTCCCCCATCGGAGTTGGAGACCTCCGGCGAAGACTCCCCCTCGGGCGACTCGACAAAGGAGCTGTCCTCTGGCTCGAGAAGTGCTTGCGCCCGCAAGGGCGTCATGCGCCTCGCACCAGACAAGAGCGACTCCAGCGTCAGCTGCATAGTGAGGCGCTGATAGGTGGCGGCGCGTTTGCGAGCCAGGACCTCAGCAGCAGGGCCGTCATCAGGCACGAAGTGCCGACCAAACGCCGCATCCTCAAGAGGCATCGAGCGCTGAGCAATGATGTCCGCGAGATACCAGATGTGTACCTGCCGGTTCAGCTTGTTCCTGCTTTGTTTTGCTTGAGGCACTTTTTACTTTCTGTCAGTAAATCCTATACCAGATGAAGCGGAGGGTGTCAGGATGCAGGGTACCGTCCGTCGAGATGGCAAGAGGGATGAACGCTCGAGGAGGAGGAGTAGTATATGCAGCGGGTACCGTCCGTCGAGATGGCAAGAGGGATGAACGCTCGAGGAGGAGTAGTCATGGCATATGCAGCGCGATGTTTGCGAATCTTCTCAGACGCTGCAACATGGAGGGCGTCGAGGTTGACCTCCCCCCACTTGGTCAGGTCGGCAGAGCTACCAATGTACCAACGTCACGTCCGCCATCAAGCCCTCGTACTGCTCAGACCCTCGATCGCGGATTCCAGGGATGTGGATATCGCCCTTCATCTTGCGGCCATGAGGATGGGAGGGTACCTGCCGTCGTAGTCCTCCTCGCTAGCCTCCGAGTCAGCGGGTAGCCAAGTCAGCGGTAGCCGCCCGTGACGGCGGCGACGCCGCAGCAATGCCCAAGGACCGGCGTGAATATATCGCGGCGTGACCCGACCGATGCCGAGCAGGCGAGCTCGGACCAGCAGCAAGCACCCCAGTGGTGTCGAGCTCTCCGGAGGCACCCGACGTCACAGTGAGGGACGGAGCCGCCTCGCCAGCTCCGCGCCGATCGTCGGGGCCACTCGACGTGTTTCCCCCATCGGAGTCGGAGACCTCCGGCGAAGACTCACGAAGTCGTGCGCCTCAACGAAGAAGAAGGCTGCTTGTCTGCGCGGCTTCGCGCTTGGGCTGGCGATGCCGCGTCTGGTTGCCAGCAGTGCTGGTTCTTTTGTGTGTGTTTGTGCAGCTTCTCGCTGTGCGCTGTGTGCCAGGAGGTTTAGCTTGTTCCTGCTTTGTTTGCTTGAGGCACTTTTTACCTTCTGCCAGTAAATCCTATACTGAGGCACTTTTTACCTTCTGCCAGTAAATCCTATACTAAGTATAGGATTTACTGGCAGAAGGTAAAAAGTGCCCCCGTGGACTGTGTACCTGCCGGTTCAGCTTGTTCCTGCTTTGTTTTGCTTGAGGCACTTTTCCCTCTGCCAGTAAATCCTATATCGCCCCGTATAGGATTTACTGGCAGAAGGTAAAAGTGCTCAAGCAAAACAAAGCAGGAACAAGCTCGCCAGAGGATGCTTCTGGGCACGGAGAGATCTCGAGCAGTGAACGTCCAGGCTATGAGGAGAGGGCAGCGTCCGTGACATGGGCTGGTCAGAGTACCAAGCGAGGAAGCGAGCGATAGCCGTATAGTAAACAGCGGGGTGTAGACCCTCAGAGGGCGTAAACTCGTCCCCTCCCCGACTATGCGGAAGCTCCCGCTTGAACCTCGCAAACTCTCGCAGAGAGGTGCGAGGAAGGCCAGCGGTGGTATTTCTCAAGCGCCAGGTGGACAGAGAGGTCAAAGCGACGAATCTGTGACTGGACCCGCGGGAGAAACGGAGATGACCCCTGGAGGAAGAAGCGGCTATAGGATTTACTGGCAGAAGGTAAAAAGTGCCTCAAGCAAAACAAAGCAGGAACAAGCTGAACCAACGCAGCTTCTGGAGATGGCTCGCCCTCACCAGCGTCTTGAACATGAAGCCATGCTGGACGAGCCCGAGCTTCGAGAGCTCTTCGTTGAGGGTAGAAACCTTCGCTCGGAGCTGACTAGCAGTAAATCCATCCATGCCGATAGGCAGGCCTCCAAGTGTAATCCCCGCCAGTGACGACCTCGAAGTGAAGAAGCTGAGTCTTGAGACGGCGCTTAAGGCTCTTCTTCAGCTGCGAGAGATCAGGGTTTTGATGCCAGGAGGGGATGTAAACTTTCGACTCGCGAGGTTGAATCTCTAGCTTCAGATCAGCCAACATGTACTTCTTCATAGCGGACGTAGCTGCAACGGCATCCTCGAGTGGACCGACAAGTACGACGTTGTCAGCATAGGCCAAGACTCGAACAGAGGGAAAAAGCTCTGCGATATGGAGGAGCAGGGGGTTTTAGCTTGTTCCTGCTTTGTTTTGCTTGAGGCACTTTTTCAACCTTCTGCCAGTAAATCCATTGTCTCTGTGGCAGAAAAATACGCTGGAGGCAGTGCTACGGATTTACTGGCAGAGGGTAAAAAGTGCCTCAAGCAAAACAAAGCAGGAACAAGCTAAACCTCCAGGCACACAGCGCACAGCGAGAAGCTGCACAAACACACACAGGGGACATCGCCCTGACAGACGCCCGAGGTACACTGAACCGA